GATTAATGAGAGAAAAAATGAATTTGAACGATTGTAGTATCAGGCTGCAACATAACAAAATAGAAAAAAATGAAAGGGGTCTGAATACTTTCTGAATGCACTGTATATCAGCACATATTTTCAGATCAAGACTTAAGAATACAGGGGAGGAACCATTCCAAAGTCTAAGAGAAAACCAGAGTTTTAATATCAGTGTCTAATGGGAGGTAGTATTTATTTCCAACATGCTTAATTTATCTCCTCTCTCTTCTAGCACTGATGATATATGGTTCCAGCAGCCTTTTCAAATATTCTTTAATAGCAACCATCTATTAAATCTCAGTATTTTTATTTTAAAAAAAAAGATTTGATAGGAATAGAAATCTACAGATTTTGGTTTGTCTCTACTATAGGTCTTTGCTGATAATTTGGTTGAGACTAAAAGGTCCAGTAAAAATGTTTATCATAACCTGACTTTCAAAATGAACAATTGGAACTGGGCTAATCTTTCCCCAGCTTAACTTTTCATGAGAACTTTTGGCTCCATTATTAATGCTGTGCTATTCCTCCTCAGCTCTCACCATCAAGTTTCTTCAATTTGGGCACTCGCTTGGTTGCCTCCTCAACCCAGGCACTCTGTGAATCAGCAGAGTATTTCTCTTCCAGTGGATTGCCTACAAACACCAGATCCTCCAGTAACGGCAAGTCTGCCAACCTCACAAACTCTGCTGCATCCGCAAAGAGACATAATCAGAAAAAAAATTCTTTATTATGAAGGGAAAGAAAAACTTCCCAACTTCAAAATCAGAAGGCACGGGTGCCTGCAGGGAGCTTGGGTCATGACATCATAATTGAAATTACAGAACTTGTGTTATCTACATGATGACATCATGATGTGTGGTTTAACACTGACTTCTACCGGATGCCTATGCCAGAAGGGAAGGGAGATGCTAAGTGAAGAATTCACTTACTATGGGATATCTCACTATCTCCAGTATGAACTTTCCAGGGTTCTGGTTCTGGTTCTCAAACAGCTGTGCCATTCAACAGAATTAAGACATTACCTTTTTTTATATATATAAAAATGAGATATGTCTTCATCAATGAGGTAACTAAACTAACAGTGTTGTTCTACTTCAATGAAGATTTCTGTGTGGCTCCTCATATACCACCTGTTAGCAGCTCCTTAAAGCAGCTGTGTTCTAATAATTACCAGGTGAAATTGCTGCATACATGGAGCTGACTTTGAAGAGTATGAAACTCACAACCTTCACTTAACAATTACCGAAGTTCACACCTGTACTTAATGTTACAATATATATATATTGAACATATGGTGCTACTGATATAATTTTATCTTTTTACTCTGAAGTTTACATTATAAGATAACTACAACACACAAATGAGCCAGTTTAGTGTAGTGGTTAAAGGCACCAAGGGAGAAACTGAGAGTTCCTGTCTTGGGCACAAAACCAGCTGGGTGACCTTGGGCCTGTCACTCTGTTTCACCCCTAGGAAGAAGGCAAGGGCAAACCACTCCCAGAAATGCTGCCAAGAAAATTGCTGGGACTTGCCAGGAGTCAAGACTGACTCAAAGGCACAAACAAAACAGAACCATAAAAATAGTGGGTAAATCCATTTTATGGATAGACTGGTTTCTCAAAATATTAGTCAGGACTAATGAAGCAGTTTTTAAAACTTCTGTAAAATTTAAAGCCATTTGATTTACCTCAGAGAATTTCAAGTTGTACTTGGACTACCTGGCACTGATACTATTGCTGCATCTGAAGTTTCACATTTGTTAGAGATCTTGGAGGAATCCACTGAGGCTTCTAAACTAACAATATATTTTTGTAAAAAGTTAAAGAAATTTTATGAAAATTATATTGACATTTTAACAAATATTTTAACAAATATGGAATAATGAATTGCTGTTTTTGAAAATCAGTAAAAGAGTGCTTTAAAAAATAAGTCTCTATTTTAGTACTGTATAATAAAATCAGTGGATACTGAGTACTTCAGAGAATGTTTAAAGCAGGTTGGCAACTGCTTCCCTGTTGGAGATGCAGTTCAGAAGCTAGAATGTTAATCCACCCTGTTCAGGTAGCTTTGTCCTATTATTTCCACATTTTCAACTAAAATCCACACAGTTAACATGATTTTAGACCAATTGTTATATGGTAAGTTCTTCTTGGCTACTTTCCCAGTATTTTGAATTAATTAAGATATCAAGAATTATGGAATTTTCACAAATGGGACAATGGCAAAAATTATTATGCAATATTGAAAATATAAATATACACTTGGTACGCATTGTTTATCACATTTTTTTTTCTTGGTGTACCTTTGAGTCAGTGTTAATTCATGGCAACTGCCTGGACTAATCCCTAGAGTTTTCTTGGCAAGATTTTGGAAGTGGCTTGCCCTTGCCTTCTTCCTAGGATTGGGAGTGTGTGACCAGCCCAAGGTTACCTGACTGGATTCATACTTAAGATGGGACTAGAACTCACAATCTCCCAGTTTCAAATCTGGTGCTTAACCACTATGCCAAACTGGGTCTCAAACTTCAAATTAGTCTTATTTTAATAAAGAAACAAGGTAAAAGATTTCTAATTTTTGGGGGGGGGGATCTGTGTTTATAACTAAGGTTTTTTTTCTTTCCTTCATTTTAATGTTGTATCATATTGTTAGCTTAGTGGTATGTACACAATTTTCTGTTAGTTTGATATACTGACATTAAAAAAAGCTTTAAAATCAGAACACAGATAGGTTACTAATGGAAACCAGAAAACAGGAATGCACATTGCCAGTTTGTAAATAAGCATATTATACTTTCTGAGCATGGAATACATAAGCTAATACAAATAGCTAGCTAGACGAGTATACAAATTCATCAATAGCAAAGCATGTATAAAATACAAATATACATGAATATTGAGCAAATAGCATAATAAAACAATTTCTATATATCCTCCTCCTATAGTTAGGTCCAATATTGCTCTTAATTTTATTACATATTATCAGTGGATTATGACCTTTCAAAATAAAGTTATGGTGCAGCAGAGTAATTGTATACATATTCCAAGATAAACATCCTTGCCCAAGAACATCAATTATTGAGTATTATCAATATGTTTCAAAGTAGATATAACACACTGCCTTACCCCAGTCTTTCACCAGATTATTGGACATGTAGAGAATCTTCAACTTCTTCATCACATGGAGACCTTTCAATTTCTCAATCAAGTTGTATGAAATCCACAGTTCCTCTAACGTATCCCCAACTGCTTCCTGAAAGACAATAATGTTCAGGGGAAAAAATTGTATTACCATCAGAAGCTTTTAAGTTAAAAAAGCGTGTGTGTGTGTGTGTGTGTGTGTGTGTGTGTGTGTGTGTGTGTGTGTGTG